ATAGCCCAAATTCAAATTGTCATCTGGGCTAGCCCAATTGACAACTGGGCCGATTTTCATTTGGGGCACAACATATATACCGATACAGTTGATTTGTTCCTATTAAACGATTCTGATCAGTAGGATCGCAAAATACCGCCAGAATATAAGTGCACTACAATACGCCCGCGCCATAACACTGACCCTACTTTATATAGCATATACGTATTTAATAAGAATGACAAAATTAAGATACGTAAAATTTTACTATATTGAGAAAGGTTTAATATATATAAATATTAATGCTAACATTTTTAAATAAGAATCTAGATGACTATATCAATGATATAAACTTCTGTAAAAACATCACGAAGTTGCAGACAACCCATTTTTTGTGACAGTAATAATAATTGTTTTATGTCATTTTTTTCTGCATGGATTTTGTGCAGCTGAATTGATGTTACTAAGGCATATTAAATCGGACTTACAATAACTTAAACTCAGGCGGCTGACCATTCAGAATTTAATAAACATATTACGTGTTGGGACAATGACAAAATTTCGCATGACCAACTGCAATAAATTAAACACAGTAATTGAGTATACAAACTACGTAGGACACATCCCAAACCATAAAAGAAAAAAGTTGTCTGTTTTCAAGTGATGACCATTATTATGATTGGTTACAAAATAACTGTTCTTCTGGAAAACAATTGATAATTCTGGTCACATAAATATGGAAATCAAATGTAGTGAAATAGAATAACGCTAGATGTAGCCAATTTATATATAAATACGTACGATTTGATCAAGTATACAGTAAGTAATTTCGTTGTTGCTCAAATATAATGAGTACCACTCAAGATTTGTAGAGTATATATTTGATAAAGTGCGCTAACAACTCTTTTTATTATTTTAGACCGGTATAGGAGTAATTTTAGAAAATATTGGTCCATCTTAAATATCCGATCTATCTATTAACAGTTAACATTTTTATTCAAACGTCAATTATTTGAAATCTGAATTAAAGATTGATTAACACTGACTATAATAGGAATTTTTTACTATTCAGATTTCTTGATTTTCATAGATACTTTTTGAATGAGCCATAAGCCAGCTTCGAACATAGCGCCGTTGAAGTTCAAAGATGGTTGGATATCAAACATTAGATTAACCGGAATTGATTCTGCCGTTCCGGTAATAAATATTATTCTGCAGATTACCAAGATTTGTCTACCAAATATAAATTGATTTTAATGTTACGATAATAAACTATATTTAGCAGGCAAGTCACTGGTTTAATTTTGAGGCTGTAGTTAATTCCTTAACCTTTTCCAGTATTTCCTAATCGATGTTAATAACAATATTTTTGGCATAACAATAAAGGTAACTAATTAACGTTAATGATTGGTTCTACTTTAAATGATTTCTATCACGTGAAATTAAAACCGTTACATTCAAAAAATGCCAAACAAAATAATGAAATAATGCGATCTAAATATAAACAAATAATTGTCTAAATTTTATTCATGAATTTTCATGAGTTTGCAAATTAGGTATATATTATAATTTATGCACCAATGAAAGGTTGTGTTTCGTGCCACGTTATATGTATATTAAAAATTATGCAGGTTCAACCGTTTTCACTTCGAACAAGATGGCTACCAATTTATTCACTCGCCTTTCTCGAGACTTTGGTGAATTATTGGAATCTTCTTTTAATCATGATGTTGTTATTCAAGTAGGTGAAATCCCTCATGTTACGGAATTTCATGTACACTCTATTATTCTTGCTACAAGGTCTCCTTACTTTCGTTCGGCTTTATCTGATAAATGGGCTATAAGACAAGAAAATGGCTTGATTACCTTTAAAAAACCAAATATTTCTTCAAAAATATTTAAACTTGTATTAAAGTATGTTATTTTTTTATATTAATCTTTTTTAATTTGTTTCTTACTTTTATGATATTATATATATATATATATATATATTTTCGTAAATTATTAGTTACATTTATACTGGTGCAATTAACTTGGAGAATAAAGAATTATCTGAAATATTAGAATTTTTTATTGCTTCAGATGAACTATTACTTGACGAAATTATGGTATATATTCAAGAATATCTTCTTAAGAATGATGATATTTGGGCAACAACAAAAAATTCGGTCAAAGTTCTTCATATGCTCTTTCATTATGATAGTTTAATGAAACTTAAGGATTACTATTTGAAAATAATTTGTAATAATCCTAAACTTTTATTTGAATCAAATGATTTTTTCTCTTTAAAAGATGATATTTTGATTTTTCTTCTCAAATTGGATGACCTTGATATAAAAGAAGTTGAACTCTGGGATTATACTCTTCAATGGGGAGTTGCTCAATCTTCTGCTTTAAAAGATAAAGAATATGAAGAGATGACAAAAACAGATTTCTTAATTTTAAAAGAAATTTTAATGGAAATTACTCCTTTGATTAGATTTTTCCAAATGTCTGGTGATGATATTACAAATTTTGTATATCCTTACAAAAAAATCATGCCAAAACCTTTGAAGAATGATGTAGTAAATTATTTTATGGCATCTAGTTATCGACCAAAATCTAACGTTCTTCCTCCTCGTGCCAATAAAAAATATTCTACAATTATATCAACTCGTCATGTTTCCCTAATTGAAGGTTGGATAAGTCATGATACCGCTAGTCAATTAAATCAACAAAAATCCGTGAGACCTTGTTTTAGTTGGAATTTGCTTTATCGTGCAACTGAAGATGGTTTTAATGCAGTAGATTTTCATAGAAAATGTGATAATAAAGGTGCCTGTGTAGTTATAGTTAAAATTCAGGATTCTGATAAAATAGTTGGTGGTTATAATCCTGTCGGATGGATGCTTCCTAATGGATATACTGCGACTGACAAAAGCTTCTTATTTTACTTTGACAATTCTACTTCAAAGATAAGTCGTATCCTTCCTGATTGTTCTGTTAGTGCCATATTTCAAAATTCTTCTTATGGACCCACTTTCGGATATCCTGATTTATTTATATCATCAAATTGTAATCAAACTAATAGCTCTGATTGTAATTGTACTCATTATTATGAAAAGAATTTTAGCGTGACCGATTTTTTTGTTGAAGATTATGAAGTTTTTCAGATAACGTCAAAAAATTAAAAACTATTATTTCACTTACTATATTATTAAATATTTTACCTATGTATTTATTACTTGTATTTATTTGTTCAATAATTTATAAATAATTTATAAATAATTTATCAATAATATGTATGAATATTAATAACACCAATATAGTTTTTTGCTAAAATTTAGGGTCATAGACCAAGATAGGGAGTTATATATAAGGGTTTAAATTTTAGTTAGCATAAGGTTTTCGAGGTTCTGAACATAATCACCAATGGTGATAAATAGCAAACTTCAATATAAATATATATATATCTATATTTTTCAATGATTTTTATGAGTGCATTTCTGTCATTACTATTTCATCTTGCAAATTTCTATATAATTTCGTGCTTGCTTTTATCACTGCTTTAATGCATTAATATTTAATTTCAGGATACTGTTACTGTACGTACTATACTGTACGTGGTTATAAGCAACAATCTTTTTAATCGAAATTTGAATTTCTGGTAGTTACTTACGTTATATAATTTCAAATGCCAATTCATTTTCTTTTTAAAATTCGAATTAACATTTGAATTAAAATGTTACTTATAACTGTAAAAAAAAAAAAAAAAAATTAAGATAAAATGGAAAAAACTTCAAGCAACATCATATATACAACATAAGTCAATGATTTAGAATTATTATTTATCAGATTATTGCACTATTATTAGTATCAACACGAAATGACGCTCGGAAGCGTTATTTCGGGGGTACGTAGTTTGAAGAAAACTAATAATTCATTTAGCCGACGACTTCTAATAACAAAATGTATGATTCGCATTCGGCTAAATTAATTATTAGCCGAAATAACGTCTCTTGATATTATTTCGCATGCACTTCTCAGTTAAAATAGGCGTACGTACGTACGACATATAAAAGTTGCATGCATGAATGCTATGCTTATCAATCTCATCTTTTTATCCATATACGTAAAGGTTTTTTATTTGCATAACGATAACTGATAAAAATAGTCATGAAAAATTTTTTTTTCAAATCTTCATTCTTTTGTTTTTTATTTTTGTCTTAAATTATTGTTTATTAACATTTTATCATAATCCTTCAATCAATTTCATCTATATCAAGGTAAGAATAGATATTGTCTTTAAAAAATTCATATATATATGTATATCGCATATTTATCTACAAAGTGATGAAATTATATAGAGTCAAGCACTGAACAATGTTTATAAAGAACTTTATAAAATCTTCTTTAGTTCTTTAGTTGATGATAATATTTTTAGATCTGATAATTTACAATATCGATATGCAAATTATGTTAAAAATTACAACTTTTCTAATTGTCTATATTTACGCATTTATGATTAGAACATAATATTTAAATGTATTATCAAGTATATATACTGTAATAAAAAATATTGGTAATTTTAATAGTGCATATGTACTGTATTTTTATATAGTACTGATTAAATATATATATATTTTTTAGAATGTGACAAATGTGCGTGTATTGCGAAACATCGATTCAAATAGAAACATCCTGTTTCGGTGAAAGGAAGCGTTCAGAACAAGATTTTGAAGAAGCATTACATGCTATATAGTATTAGATTAAATTCTGAACTCCGTGGTAATTATAAGGATTTGGAGGCGGTATTAGTGTTTAGAACATGTTAGGTAACAAAATATAAAATAATCTAGTTCTATCATGATCTGAAACAAGATGGTGCAGAGGGATACTTAGTATGTGCAGCTTATATTCGAGGTGATTACAAAAAAGATATACAGTATCTATCTACAACCCAAAAATGGTTGTCAGCATATTATTATAATTAACGATCTTGGCCGATCAAGATTTTTCGACCGATCAGGCTGATAAAATTTTAATGACTTGATCGACTTAGTCGAAAAATTCTCATTTTAATCAGACTAGCAAAATAAAAATTTATTATTACAGCTTTTTTCACAAATTTTTTGACATCTGGTAAAAATTGACCGAATAGTTATTTGGCCGATTCGATATCGGCAGCGTAAACTTGATTTAGATAAATACATAAATTCTTATTTCCAATTATAAACTAGAGAGTGTATGAGTGAAAGAGTGAGTGAGTGAAGAGAGATCGCGTTAAATATAAATACTATTAAATATTTTTCATTTACATATATAAAAATAGAGATTGTATAATCGCTACCCGAGTAAATTATTATATATTCCATAAAAAAATTCTGTCCAGGAATAATGTTTTAATGTAGAATAAAAATATAAACGTTACACTATTTTATTCGTTTGACACTTCATCTACTAACTCCCGAACCTTTTCATTCTCTTCATTGCATGATTTTCATCTTGACGGCTACTCCCCAGTAGTCTTGCAGTCATCATTACAACAGAGGATAACTTTTTCACATCAATGTAAAAAATTCGATTCATGCATGTGCTAGTACACATAAAATTTCTTATTCTTAATACTTGTATCAAATGAGAATTTTAAATTCTCTATATGAGTGTTGTCAATAGAAAACCTGTCATCAGGCTTTCAATGTTCAGTTGGCTTTCTGCGTGCTATCTATGGACAATCTATTCCGATGATAGAATGTCCATAGACGGCATACAGGTTTTCTATTGACAGCACTCATATGTAGCTGGCTTGTTCCTTTCCTAATTTCTTTGATTTTCTGCATCTATTATGGAATAAAGTCCTAAACACTTTACTTTAGTGTAAATAAAGACTCTGTTTAAACTTATTAGTTTTCTGATAGCTGAAGACAGTTGACAGGCTGATAGTAGAGTTGTTATTAACAGACTTTGTAGGTATAGGATAGATCTGGTGGTTGTCAACCTTGTACCTTTCGACGTCTCGTTTAATAATGAAAGATTTTTGGATGAATTCAGCCTTGACTTCTGACCAAACTTTAGCTATATTGGGTCTTCAGAATTCCTCCAACTCTTCGATGGAAATTCTTGTCTTGGTCAGAGATTACTTCATTATCAAGTATGGACTCTATAGTGTTTCGAAATATTTCAATGAAATACTCGAAAACTAATGTTTAAAATCGACCTTGGTGCGCTAATTAAAAATGACGAGAACAAATTCACATATTAAGTAACAATTTATCGCTATAGTAATGTCTAACACTAATCTTCTATTTTTATGCATTTAGCATTTAGTTTATTCACTCGTGAAAAAAAGTAATTTCAGTTATCAATGATTCAAATTTTGAGTGAAAGAAAAAAAATAAAAAAAATGAAATCGGAGACTAATGTCTAAATTGACTTTGATGCACTAATTAAAAATGATGAGAATGAAATTTTACATAGTAATTGATAGTTTACTTTCTGTATCCTATAACACAGATATCCAAACCTTAACATTCGCTAAGATTAGCAAGTACATGTCACTCTGGTTATATCGACATTTTTGAAACATTAGTAAAAAAAATTCAAAATGTCGGTTATATATTAAATTTTGAAAAAAATGTCGGTATAGAAAGATTTTACTATGATGCTATATCCAGACGTCGGTATAACCAGAGTGACTGTAGCGAAATAGATTATACAAAATTTTGTTAGAATGTAAAAGTTCTATAACCTGTAATTATGTGTTAGTTTATCGATTTAAACCCTTTAACCTTAATTACTATTTGTTCACGATCGAAACTAGATTGGTTCAAGACCCTATAAAGCTCTCCCCCGGTCGTTAATTTATGTAAAAAATAAAAATTTCAATTGATGTATTCGATAATTGGTTGAAATCTAAAGTCACGAATTGTAGTCCAGAAATATAACACAATGTCCCGGGCTAAAATGACATTATTGATAAACTGGTTATAATTTAGCCCGATGGCTTAGATAATTTTGTAGCATATCTCTTAACCCACAACGAGTACAAGTAGCTGTGATAGAGAAAGTAAATTGCATATTATTTCAATAGCTTTTGGGCGAATTCATGAGGCTTAAGGGCCAGCACAGCCTCATTAGTCCTTTAAGTTATAAAAAGGACGTAACTTGGTTAAAGTTGGTTACGACACTTATGTGCGAGGAAGGGCACATAAGCTCACTAACCTGATAATAAATTTCTTATATTATGAACCAAATCACCAATGTCATGTCTCTGGCAAATTGCCTTATATTATAAATTTTATATTTTCATGTATAAATTATTAAAACCCTACAAATCACCCCGTAACATTTGGTGGTGACTGTGAGATGGAGATTGATAAATTATATAAAGTTAAAAATTTACAATTTTAATAATTAAAAAAGTTTGAAAATTGGCATAAAGATAGAAAAAAGTTTTAGAAAAGATGAAGTGGTAAATAATTTTATAACTTAAATAAAAATAACTTATACTAATTTACTTTCATAATAACTCTATTTTTTATATTAACTTTAGCTTTTGTTCATATAAACAATTATACTTGACATCTCTCTTCAAACTCATTGTGGCTTGATTTAACTTCTTTTCTCTTAGTCAAACTTTTAATACTTCAAGCCTTTTCTTCAAATCTTTATTTTCATTTTGAAGACTAAATATTCAAATATTTTTATCAGTATTTTTTTTCTATTATTATTCTTTAAATTCTAATATTTATCTTAATATCACTACTATTTTACTTACTACTCTTCTTCTGAAAAACCTACACTAGTAATTTTATATGAATACTTATTAACTGGCTTTTCTACAAAAATATTATTTTCAACTTCAACTACTTTTTGATATGTTAAAAGTTCTTGTTCAACATGTTTTTTTATTCTAGCACTATGTAGCTTCAATTATTTTTGTTGAGGTAGAAGTTTTTATTTATAAGCACACTTTCAAATAACTATTTTTTCATTTTAATAATATCTTAATCTATTTCAAACTATTTTTAATATTTATAAGTAAATTTGTAATACAAACCTTAATCTACAGTATATTTAATAAAACAAATCAACAAAATCTATTGGACAAACAGCAAACAGATCTTCAAAAAACATACTATTTTAAAATTTTATTTTATGGGGTGGAGTCAATAGAAAAAGGACAAATTTTTTCTAAGTAAAAGTTTTCTTAACTTTAAGTTTAAATATCTCAGCAATTATCTTATCAAATTTAATAATTATATAAAGCTTGTTGAATATACAGTATTTTCAATTTTTTTACCATTAGAGTTTACAGGTGCTATTACCACCTGCTTGGGGAATACGTTCTTGTTAAAGTATTTTTTCATCAATACTTTCACAAGGGTATCTTTATTTTTTTCAATTATTTTTACGAGTTGATTTCCGGAATAAATATTAGCAACGTCGAATTTATCTATTTGATTGTAAAAGGGAGAATAAGTATATACTGAAATTTGCAATTAATTTTTTGTTAGAACGCTTTTATAAACGAAATATTGATTTTTAAATTTCTCTCTTGGGAAATTGCAGTACGTAACACGTTATGCTAAAAAAAAATTTATTTATAATTAGCTAATTTTAGGTAGATATACAGCTTTAACGTCTCAATACTTAATCAAAATAGGTTTCACGAAAGAAATAGCCTTATTTGTAGATTTAACATTGGTCTTACCAAACTACAGAACGATTAATTATTGAGATATATGAAAATTATCAATAATAGATTTTTATATATACCACATATATATAGTTTTTATCTAAACTTTTGTGATACGTACCAGTATTGACAGCGTGGATAAAGTTACATGTTGATCTAATTTACTGTGTAATGTAAGATCGCAATTTTCGTACACAACTAATTCCTAATTACAATTTACAATGTAAGAACGTGATTTATAAGATGAATTTTAGTTCTAATACAGAAGTATGAACAATCTAATCAAGCATACGACGACTGAATGCTGCAATTAACAAAAGACTAACAAGAAATTCTAATTAGTAAATATTCAGAATTAAAAATTCATGGTGCTTATCTAAGATACGTAATACGTACCCGTAATTTAATCATCTAATCTGGTTTTTCTTTATATTTATATTAGGAAATTTATAATAGCATGTATAAATAAATGCCGACACAGCACCAGTTGATTATTTATTTAACAAATTTGATAACGATACAAGAGTACTGCGGACGACAAAAAACAAATTAAGTTAGTTTGATACACCTTGCGTCAGTATCTCCTTTATCAGACCCAACCGTTCTTTTATATAGTCCCTATTAAACTCGAAGCTACGTATAAAGCCTTTATTCCTTATACGTGGGCGACAATTTTTATTAAGGATGCTAATGCAAAGATTCAGAAACCCCCGTGCTGCATTTTACACATTTTTAAAGAATTTGTACGATGCCAGTGCAGAATTTGTATTATAATCTCCTGCACGAACTTTACTAGGTCGACTTTTGAATCTTTGCTCGTATTATCAGTCATTGGTGCATGTTTTTTGTTTGCTCTTAGTTTATAATCAATGACTTTGAGTAACCTAATAATCTCAATGATTTTTATTAATAAATATAAACAAACGAGCTTCGCATAACTTATCTTTTAAGTGATTTCTACGCACATTTTCTGAAAACATGATTAAAATTTCCTTCCTAGCTTACCTAGCGTTGATATTTACATTTCTCTTTTTTTTCATTCTTTTATCTTCTAGTCCACCAAAAACAAGATATCATCTTATTTTACTTCTTTTAATAACCTTCGTATTCCTAATCCTACCATTAAACTATGGCTGGCAATTTTCATGTAGGATTCAAGGACTCTTCCCAACTTTATGTTGTGCGTATACATTTAAAATGTTAGCCTGGCTAAAAAAGTGTTTAAACCATGAAAAACACGAATCATTTTGTAAATCATTATTTTATTGGAGGAAACCAAATAATAAAACTTCTGTCAAAGATGATTCAAATGATTCAAATGATTCACACTTTTATTCTATTATCCCCGTAAATTTTAGAAATTTCTTTCAAAATGATAATTTTGAACATTATGATCACATAACTAAATCATTAAAACAAGGACAAATGATTCCATACCTATTTTATAGGTTACAAAAACTTCTATTCATATGTTTAATTCAGGAAATTTTTTTATCATTTCTTGTTACTTATGTACCTACCGTACCCTCTCAACCTTATCCCGTGAGAATATTTAATTATTTTGTAAATAATAATTCATCTCAACCATTCATTTCTTATTTTGATTTGTTTTATTCTTATACATATGCTGGGTTTCTCTACATCAATATGAGTTGGTTATATGAGATATGTTTATTTTGCTCTTCCTTGATATTCTGTGGAATCTTACATTACGATAACGTAAGCAAAAACAGAGATGTCAAGCTTGAAAATGATAATATATTCTACAAGGGTCTAATGGTTGTCAAGCAATGGCTAATTTCTTTTCTATTTGAAACACCCAAGTTGTTTGATATTCCTTACCTTTCATCAAGTCCAAAAGATTTTTGGAACAAAAGATGGCAACAAATGTATCGCCAAAGCTTCTCTGAACTAGCTTATAAACCCACCTTTGATTTTACTTTCGCCTCACTTATCCCTTTATTCTCTAATAACGTTTTTAATTCATTCAAAGTCACATCAACCAAAGTCATAGAAAAGAATGCAGTTCCAAATTACATCAAAAATATAATATTTCTTATAGCACATTCATGTGGAGTGTTTGCAAGCTTTTTTTTGAGTGGACTATTTCACGAATACGTGCTCTTAGGTTTATTTGGTATTTGTAGTGGCGAACAAATGGGATTTTTTTTGCTTCATGCGGTGGTTATGATTATTTGGGAAGGAATAGGTATCATGTTTGGAAGTAAACAAATTAAGCAAAAAGTATCTAATGACAAAAAGGATTGGGAAAAGAAGGACGAAAAAGATCAAATGTACAAAAATGGTTCATCCAATACAAAATTTGGAATAAGATTCTTACAATTTATAATTTGGAATTCTATATTAATTTTTTCAACTCCTTTGATGATGGAGCCTTATATTCGTACTAGATTATTTAGTTGTGCACCTCGTTTATATTGTCTTATTTAGTTTTTTGTAAAATAGTCATTCATATTAATATCAAATTTAGAATTTATATACAATTTTATAAATCAATATTTCTATTAGAAATTATTATCAATCGTCAATTCTTTATATTTCAATTTGCATGGTTTATAGGCAATGTTTACACTGGATATATGCCCAACTAATTTAGTACTATATTTTTAGTGCTATTTGTGCTGGACATTGGACAATTACTTGGAGGCGCATGGGGAGTGAACCACTTGGCATTTTCGACCAATTTTAAAATTTTGATTCAAATTAAAATATTGATTCTTATTTACAATGAATTTATTACCCTGCATTATTAATTTAATAAATTATCAAAATATTTACATCTGTAAGATTCAGGGTTTGCAAATGATGTCATTTAAAATTTTAGTGGCAAATGATAATTTGTCATTTGTTATTTTTTGTCATTTATGATTCGGGATCCCGAGATCATAAAAAAGACACGATCTCGGGATTCCGTGATTGGAACTTGGAATCGTCTCATTGAGATGGTAAAATCGCTTAAAAGAATTAATTATTTTTAATAGTAATTCAAATATATGCAGAGTTTTTGCTAATTAATATTTTTTTTTTAAATGTAGAACATTTTTTGTCATTTATCTTCTAAATGACAAAGTGACAAATGACAAAGTCACAAAGTCATTTATGTCATTTAAAAGTCATTTGAAACCCTGGTAGGACTACATCTCCTGCACGGTACCCCATCGCAATTTGTATAATTTCCTAACTTGATGCTATGCAGATATCAGGAATCACAAAATTTTTTGAGTTAGGCCCTTATGGTCAAACTTACGCGTAACGATTCATGAGCAAGGCTGAAACGACCTATTGAAATAGTGGACATTTACTGCGTCAATGTTCATAATTTAAAAGTGTCTTCTTTGATGCTTCAAAATTGGTATTTAAACTGCGATCAATTTTTGTAGATAACAGTAAAGTGACTAAAAATGTGAATCAAGAACGATATTTTGCAAATAGCCACTATTTCAATCAGCCCTGTTCATGAGACAGACATAGTTATTGGATGAATTCGAACATTTTTGGCATTTTTGGCATTTTTTATGAATTCAGATGTCCGGCCTTTTTTTTTAATTTTGCATCCGGATACTATTCGAATTACATGATTTTTTTTATATTGTTGATATTACAGTAGGATCGAAATAGAATGACTGTCTTTCATATTACGTAGCGTTTAGTGTTCCACCAACTTATCTTAGAAGCGATTCTGAAATCGATCAAGGTAACTTGTGAATGACTTTAGCCATTCAAAATTCTTTGCTGATCAACCAATTAAAATGCTAGATCATGTGTAACATGAAATCGGTAGTAATTAGGCGCGAAAGTTGTGACTCACTGTATTATTCCTTTTTTTTTAATTGCCATGGAAAATCCTAATCAAAACACTCAGGAACAACAAATTACCCCTTGGAAGGTTGAAGGAGCTGTGATCGATGGTAAAGCTCAAGCGATTGACTATGATAAGCTAATCGAGAATTTTGGAACTCAACATATCAACGAGGAACTCTTAAAAAGATTTGAAAGTTTAACTGGAAGAAAATGTCATGTATTTCTCAGAAGAGGGGTCTTTTTTTCGCATAGGTACGTTTTAATCTCTATTTTGTATATTATTGTTCAAGTGCATTATTACATAGTAAGTTGCTGATCTGTGATAAATCTAGAGAGCTTACACGCATTTTGGACCTTTACGAACAAAAGAAACCGTTTTTCCTCTATACAGGACGTGGCCCAAGTAGCGCAAGCATGCATCTTGGGCACATGGTCCCGTTTGTCTTTTGCCAGTAAGATAATTTGTGATATCTCTTTTGCGAAAAATATATGGTAAAATTAATTCATTTAGGTGGTTACAAGAAGTTTTTGATGTGCCAATTGTCATTCAAATGACTGGTTAGTATTCTTTATTAATTCTTAAATTATATTAAGATTTCTTAACATTATGAATCCGATTTTATTACCAGATGATGAAAAATTCCTTTTCAAGTCTGACCTGACATTAGAGAAGGCACGCCAATATTCATATGACAACGCAAAAGATATTATCGCGTGTGGCTTTAAGTTAGAAAAGACTTTTCTCTTTTCCGATCTTGACTATGTTAGGTTTGTAATCAATTTAGCCATTTCTTCACGACATTTTTTTCCCACCTAGTTTATTAACCATTAATATTATAATGCACATATAGTGGTGCATTTTATCACAACATTGTGAGAATCTCAAGGTGCATCACTACTAGTCAATCTAAGGCTACTTTTGGTTTTGGTGACAGGTGAGCTTCATTATGATATGTACATTATTAATAGAATTTTAAATATAATATTTACCCGAACGCTATCATTTCATTAAAGTGATTGCATCGGAAAACTACATTTTGTCGCTGTACAAGCAGCACCATCATTTTCAAATAGCTTTCCACAAATATTTGGCACACGTTCTGACATACCTTGTTTAATCCCATGTGCTATTGACCAAGTAAGCCGAATATCGATTATAGTATTATTGAAAAATGATAAAAATTTCCAACGATCTATATTTCTATTCAGGATCCATATTTCCGGCTGACACGTGACGTTGCACATAAACTCAAGTATCCAAAACCCTGTCTAATTCATGCTAAATTCTTTCCCGCACTTCAGGTAAAAAACTTTTCATAAATATAAATTTTTACTATATCATCATTACTTATCGTTAAGATATAGGGTCCTCAAACAAAAATGAGTGCATCTGTAGAAAATTCGGCGATATTTATGACAGATACATCTAACCAAATAAAAAAGAAGGTTCGTTAACAATTTCTGTTATTTAACATTTAATATGTTTGGCCCTTAGATTTTTCTTTAAATTTTAGATCAACAAATTTGCTTTCTCGGGTGGTGGTGATACACTTGAACTCCACAAATTACACGGAGGAAATCCGGACGTTGATGTCGCATATCAATATTTGGCGGTGTTTTTAGACGATGATATCGAATTGGCCGATATTTATAAGGTTCAATAAATACAATATAAGCTCTTCAATACTTCAATCGCATGGCTTTTTCAATAATAATAATGGTAATATTTTTGGGTGATATTTGTAGAAATATAAGGCTGGAGAAATGATGACAGGAGAATTAAAAGCTCGTTGTATTGAAGTTATACAAAAATTTGTCGGAGACTTTCAGCAGGTACGTACTTTACTTGACTTTTGTATTTTTTTTATAGAAGAGTATTGAACGTTATTTTCATTCCAAAAAAGCGCAAATCCGAAATAACTGAAGAAATTTTAAAGGCATTTATGGATCCCAATAGGAAAATTCCGGTGGAAGGAATAAAAAGTCCTAGCTAGAGATGGGCAATAATGTAAGTAATAATTTTTATCCAGCACTTACATTTACGTATTATGTATTACTTATTACGATTTTTAAATATAATATAGAAAGAAAAAACTTAATAATCTGTTAATTTTATATACATCATAATTCTTTACTTATTGTGTAAAATTAGAGGAAATAATTAAAAATAATAATATATAACTAACTTTGCCTATCTTTAGTCGTAGCGCTAACAAAACGAACTTGAAATTTATTTATCGCACTTTTATCAATCCCTTCTTGTTATTTGATTAATGAATCAATGATCAACAGATGAAATGAACTGTAAAACTTGAATTGCACAAATAAAATATACAAATTACCCTTTCCAAATTCAGTCTAAATTTATTTTACAGTTCGTTGTGTCCACGATCCACTGTAAAGAAGTCTGTTATATTTAGTTTCGACAGTAAATGGACTTACAAATGATCCTGCGTTTATGAACCAAATTAACACAAATAAAAGAATTCGAACGAAGCTTACAGATGGGAACCAATCTGTTAAAATAATCCTTTGTATAATAGAAACTATATTTTTTGTTGAAATATGAATAAATAAATACATTCAAATGGAAAGAGAAAACAAAATCAAACAGTTTACATCACATAGGTTGTGTCAGCGTTGTTGGATGACTCGGACAACATTTGACGAAATTTGACACCGAATAACGCAAATTCATAATGACGTATTAATTAAAATTGGTCAGAATTGACTTATGCGCTTTTTAAAATGAATCGGACTGTCCAAAAGGTTCGGAAATCCAAGATGGATTGCGACAGAACAGGGACCGGCAAAAAATTTGACAAATTATGAGTGATGGCAAATGAAACCCTGTAAATTGTTATGCATTTAATCTAGAATGAATTTACCTCTCTTTACCTCTCTCAAAAAGCTCTTTCATATTTGTGCTATGATTTTAGCTGTTAAAATCAAGAAATTGTTCAATTTTAGTTAGAATTATTATCATTTTTAGCTAGAAAAGAAAAATAAACATATCACGAATTTGAAATCGGGTTTATACGTAGGCATTCCCAGCGCTCCGTTATACTTTGCTACGAACAACTATCGTGTTTATAAAAAAAATTGCCCACGTGATTATTGCCGTTGTACAACTAATTTATCTGACTTTGTTTAATAACCTGATTCTACTTTAAGTAATGTCTAACTTTGAATCATAAGATTGGTTGACAAGTCAAAATAGTATCATAAGATAGTTGAATTTTATGCCTCTTGCGTATTATTTAACGGATTTCTTAGAGCAGTTGATATTGCAGTATTGAGTCAATTATGCATACACTTATTTTCTAGAACTCATGAAGATGCATTGTCTTACATTCCACCTCGCATTACCTACTCTCATGGAACTTTCTCAAAAAATACTACGAAAGTAGGTGATAAATTACCGAAAAAGGTGTTATTATGGAAAGAGTTCTTCGATACGGTGAAAGCGCATTATTTTGATAATAAAAACTCAAGATTCGAAGTACCACAATTCACTGGAAAATTTAAGGTAACAAATGAGGAAATCGTTCATCAAGCCATAAATGTGAACTTATGCCGAATTATGAGTACTCAATGCGAAAAACTGTTGGTGATGCGGTTTAGTTTTGAGAAGAATTGTGCTTTGTATTCATTCACGTCTTATCAGTTTAGTATGAATAATTAGGGTTAACAAAAGAATCATTTTGTTAACTATTACAATTTCATGAGGCTATATTTCGGTTTAGAGGGTGGCTTTTAAAAAAAGGGTTTCAGCGTGATAACACTGAAAGTGCAAATGCAATTAAATGCGCTGTTATTAAAATGAGGCAAAGATCTTAAGCATTTGACGATGGTAATAGAAATAAAAAGGGTACCGAAACGGCTGGTACGGAATTTACTGGCCCCAACAATGAAAAGATCAAATTTGGCAAAGCCAAACACTACAAAAGTGGCGATTTCGTCGAGTATATTACATCACAGACACCCGATCTACTAACATCGGTCATCGAACGTGTCACCCAGTTGGAGGAACGCGTACATATTTTAAGCGATTTAAAACCTGAACAATCACTACCGGATGCTTATAATACAAATTCCAGAGCAAAGGCCGTAATACAACAAAAGGAATTTTTGCCCCATGTTGGAACAGAGTTTGGTTGCTCAGGACGAAAATCATAAATTTATCATTATATGTCTGAGAACCAGTTGCAATATGGTATTTTGTCAACGTATGATGAACATTGGTTTGTTAGAAGAGACTACCAAGATCTTTACATCACGGAACCTCTACTATTAGGATCAACATCACCAACAGTACTCAAGGCATATGCGGTTTTTACTCAACTTGCTAAAGACGGGTTCTTTTCATTACATCCAAATATAATCTAAAGTGTTAGAGAACCGGATCATCTAAAAATTTCATGTAGCTATCTAATTCACCGCAATTATTACTTCTCAAATATTATTTTTTGCGATGATTACATTGATTAAATTTTTTTTTTTAAAAAAAAAATCCTTTCGCTGTTTAATATCAACATTTTGCTCTTTTGAGTTTTATCACTTTCAAGTTTTTAATAAATAAATTTTTAATTGTAATTTTTTGTTAATAACAAAAGTAAAAATCGCGGCCCAGGAATTTTGGAACAGAGTTGGTATATTTAAAATTACAAGCTTGTAAACGTAGGTCTCAGTGAAATTTTATTCTCTTGAGAATAAAGTACCGAACAAAAACTTTATAAAAATTTTATTTTCATAATGCTTTATATTACGATTTTTTTTTTTACTAGCAGAAAGAATTCTGGAAGTGCATAAATATACTTTCGCTTGATAAAAATATTTTTAATTTTATTTTTATTGAAGAAAAACCATCCAATTAAAGACGGGATTTTATGCGTCCAATCACAACTTGGGGGAAAAATCAGCATGGGGGTAGCATTAATATAGGCAGACTTTCTCGTGATTGGTTGATCACACAAATTGAATATCATGCCATGATTGGTCGCTTTGCAGATCATGTGCAAATTGGCCAATCAAAATTTTGATTTGTTATAAACGATATACGATAATTTTACACTATATAACCAAAAAACCTTGCATTTATATGATATAATACGTGACAACTCAATATTAAGGATAATAAAACGATTTAATACAAATTAATTCGGACAAGAAAGTTATTATATACATCCATCGCTATATAAATTGTAATAAATAAAGTTCCTTCCTTAAATGCCAAACGAC